CAATCGATTATAAAAAAAATAGAGAAAACATAATTAAAGACATCAAACTTGTTTTTGTTGCTACTACAAGATTCAATGATTCGATGATGATGATCCATACAATTAATCTGATCTCATCGCCTTATTTTCTCACACACACACACACACACACTATCATTCTATCTATCTAAAGTGATAATAATAATAATAATTGAACAAAACAGGTAAGATGAACATTCTGTTTTTTTTTTATTATATAAAAAAAATTGGGTGCAAGAAAGGAGAATGCACACACATATAGTGTGTTTGTGTGTCGAAATCAAAACAAGAAATTTATTTTCTGATCAAATTGATGAAATATCAAATTTGATTGAAGAAAAAAAAAACACTAGGAAATTTTCTGTCCATTTTCTCACTAAATGGTAAATTATTATGTTAACAACATAAATAGTGGTCACATATATTAACACGGTATACAATGAATGCAATGAAATTCGAAACAACAAAAACAAAAGAAGCTCGTTGTCTCAAAAGATTTATGAAAAAAAGAGATTCAATCATTTGATTCATTTGTTTTCATCTTATTTTTTCATATAAATACAAGTCTTGTTATGTTTGACAGACGAGAAAAAAAAATAACCGACAAAAACAAAATAAAAAACAATGAAACAAAATATCCGAAATCATTCTTGATGATTGTTATCATTTTATTTATGAAAGCTACTGTATGTATGGCCATCTCTTTATCATTTAAAAGCATGAAACGAAACATGAAATGAAAATGATAATTTTTCCCTCATTCATCATTGAATGGTTTTGTTTTTTTTTCATCATACCGCCAAAATATAGTATTTGAAACGTGGAAAAAAACAAAGGTGTGAACGTGCACACCTTTTTCAACACAAAACAGAAAAACATATCTAAACATAATCAAATTATTATACGAACATGATCGTGATTACCGGTAGAAGATTGAACATGTAACCAAAAAAAAAAAAAACATGAGAAACCCATATCTTAAGAAAAGAAAACATAGAATGGGTTTTCATTTCAGGATATTTTATTTGTGTGTCTGTGTGTGTGCCAAAATACCGCATGACAAAATAAAGATCAATATGCGTGTATACTAACATTTCGAATAGAATTATTTTAGAAAATGAAGAGAAAAAAAACCTTGCTACCTGTCTGTTTTAACCAATTTCATTTCCATATAGGTATGAATTATTTCCACCAAAGAAACAAAAAAATAATTACAAAGTTCATTTGATTTGTTTTATTTTTTTTTTTTGGCTTACATTTGTGCATGTGTGTGCATTTTAGTATCCAACAACAACAACAACAAAATGAATCTAAATGCAATGTGACAGATTTTTTTTCTTTCTATTTACCCCAAAAAGGAAGCTCATTTCTTTTTTCTTTATTTTGTTTTTTTTCGCGTGCATTATCATTGATATCATTTGCTTATTGTCTGTTTGATGACATGAACCAAAATAGTGGGAAAAAAATACAGATACAAAGATGGATTCATTGAAGACTTGGGAAAATGAAGCTCTAATAAAGCATGAAAAGAAAAATAGGATGAAAAAAGGGTAATACAGTATACCGACAAACGACGAGAAAGATCGTGTTTGTTTGGGTATAAATAAACCTGATATAGTTGTGAATGTGAATACAGTAACAGAAAATAACTACTACTTTTCTATTTTTTCGGTCGTCCCTTGTTATTAGTTTTTTTCTTGGTTCGTGACAGTTCTTAAAATCTGAAACAACTCAGGAAAACAACAACAACAAAAAAACCCGAAACTAGATCACAATTACCAGTTAGGGACCATATTTCGACAGGCCATTTGTAAAGTCATAGTCATGGAATGAACGCTTTTTTGACAATCAATCAAACAGTTCAATTCCGTTGACCCATTAGTTTTATATGGCTTCTTCATACAATCATCAAATAGAACAGTAATTTTGATTTTCTGGTTTCTAGGCATTTTGTTTTTGGTTAGTCTTCATCATCATCATGAGAAACCAATGTCATCAGATATTTATTTTCGAATATAATCAAGGACGGAATAATAAAATAAACTTCATCAATGAATATCAAAGATGGTAACAAACTTGAACTTTGAACTTATTCACATTGGTTGGTCGGTTGGTTGGTTGACTGGACAACTCGAATCGATATGACAACACCCGACAACCATCCCAGACAAAATTTTATTCATTCCAAAGAAAAAAAAAATGAACAATCCATATATAAATTCAAAGTTTGGTCATTCAGAGCTTTTTTATTCCATTTTTTTTCTTTGAATGCAAATTATTTTTTTTCGTATTTTAAAATCACCAAAAAAAAAAAAAAAAATACACTGGAAAAAATAGATGGCCATGATCGTATCGGTAATGATTAGCCAGGAAAAACACACACAAAATCCCTTGTCCTTCTTAATGTGGTCTCACGGACACACACACAACTAATATACACCAACAAACCAACCAAATAATCTGTTGTAAATCTCTTTTTCTTCAAACATACATAGACTTTATGATTGAAAAACATTAATGTCTCTTTTTTTTCACAGACCGATTCAATTCCATTTGGCACTTTTTTTCTGGAGCTCAATTTGATTTACGTATACGTCAAAACTAAAAAAAAAGAAAGAGAAAATTACCAAAATTCTCTTGAATATACTTGTGTATAAAAAATCAACAACGATTATTTCAATGGAAATAGAGTGAAGAATTTTTTTTTGTTTTGTTTTTCATTGGGTGTTGTCTTGTATACAATAGAAAACAATATTATTATGTACCATATTACCAATCATCAATTATAGAATTAACATAAATCTTGATTGTGATTCATTTTCAAAAATCTTGAATTACACATATATTTATTATTAGAATATACATGAATAAATGAACAACAACAAAAAGAGAAAAGAGTTTAAACAAACCAAACAGCACCTGTAAAAAAAAAAAGAAAATTGCCTCTGATTTTTTTTCGGTTTTTCTTTTCACTTTACATTTTACAAAACGTAAATACAGGTGGATTGCATACCACACTGTGAGACAGATTTGAAGATTTTTTTTTTGAATTTAAATGCAAACAAAGCGCTATTGAATTTTTTTATGCAACAAAAAAAAGAGAGATTAAAAACTTGGACTTGTTTTTATTCTCTGGTTTGCACGCTATACCTGTCAATTGCAATTGGCCATTCAAATGATTGTGATGATGATGATGATGATGATGATGATTTGACCATAAAGAAATGATGCTTTGATTATTATATCGGTCAATACACATTGACAGATCCAATAATATAAAAGGTGATCATTTCGTGCATGAAACGAAAAATGATCAAAACTTGAACAAAAAAAAAAAAAAAATACTATGGCTACAATCAAAACCAAATCTAATGACATCTTTGGCCAGAAACATTTTTCATCGTATACAACAACTATGCAGCAACAACAATGGTTTTTCTATGTGTGTATGAAAATGATTTACATTTACGTATCATATAATTTTCTGATGATTTGATGAAAAAAAAAAAAAATCAGTCCAATGAAAGGTTGGTACCAACGCACACACACATACTACTACTCTAGTCACATAAGGGCAAATGTCAAACCAATCGACATCCACATAGTGAGAAAGAATATAAATCAGGTATGATGTATGTTTTTTGTTTTTCTGGACATGAAAAAAAAACTTTCATTCTCAAACAAACACACACACACACACACACACAAACAAATATAAACAAAAAAATCCAAGTGGTGTTTTATTTAAACAACAAACAAAAAGTCAAACAAATAATCTTGAAATTAATGTTTTTTTTTCTGGGATGTTCATATTTGCAATGGCAATAATTTTCCAAAGCAAAAAAAAACTCTTCATCGTCATCATCATCATCATCATCGTTAGCCTGAAATTATCAACATATCAAACAAATCAATCAATTCAACCAATTCAAACATAAAGCAAATGAAAACAAATCTTTTGGACCTAATCACATTCATGGACACATTGATGGACATTTAAACAGACACACAAACAGAGCGATGTTGTCGTTATTTTTATTTGATTTCGTTTTTGAAATTTCAAAATCAAGATATAAACTTGAAATGCACACACACACACACACACACACACACAGAGAGAGAGACACACATACACATAAAACACTTGGCCAAAGTATTTCATTCAAAATCATATCAATATGTTTTGATCAAATAATCATCATTCTGATCTGGATCTGAATCTTCTTATATGCTTGCTTGTTTGCTTGCTGTGCACTTCAAAGTGACAAGCATCAAACACAACAACAACAACAACAACAACAACAGTAATACAGTCGAATACAATTTATGATTATCATCATTATTATTGAATCAAATTTTGACTGAATTGAATTTTGTTTTTTTTTGAAACATTGAAAAAAAACAAGGCCACTTGTAATCAAGAATTGTATAAAATTATTGCCAAAACCTAAAACTATCCATATGAATGAATTGGGAAGAAAAATCAAAATTTACAATCACCAATCAATCAATATGGATTAATTTCAAATTCAGGCAAACAACAGCAACAACAACAACAACAAAAAATGTATTAATAGATTCAACTATGGGCGAAAAAAGGGTATGAAACTTTGCAATCGATATCATCATCATATCAAAAATCAATAATAATAATAATGATGATGATGATGATGATAATAATGAAGATGTTTCCGAAAAAGAAAAAAAAACTAAACAAAAATGAATCAATCAGAAAGAAAACATTTTCGATAATCAACGCTTTCAAACATTATTTTAGTACATTTTCTTAGTTTTCTATCGATGATTAATCAATCAATGAAGATGCGAAATAAAATAACAACCTGTAATTATTTTTTTTTCACTAGATATCTAGATGTTGTCAGAAAACTTTTTTCTTTCTTATTTTTCTTCAATCTGTCCTTTTCTAAATTCTGATATATCAAGTTGACAAACACACATACGCACACACACACTCACTTTACCTTATCCAAATGGATGATGGTTGATGATGATGTTGAGAAACAAAACGAAAAAAAAAAAAATTCAAAGACAAATCTAAATGTCAGTGAAAAGATTTCTACACTCAAAGAATTTCTTTCCAAAAAATCGTGACAGTAAGATTTTTAAATTTAGTTTAAAGCACACACACACACACAAAGATACACAAATTATATGCAAACTAGATTTTAACAGAATGAACTTGGTGTTTGTTTGATGATGAGAAAAAAGATAAGAAAATCTAGGTAACACACGAGAAGAAGAACCTTGAAGATCAAATTTGCGCGGGTAATTTACATAATTCATATGGTATGATCAATCATTTAGTATCTTGACGACGACGACGACGACGACAAAGAATTTCGAAAATCAAAAACAAATCGACCTAGTTATTATGATGATAATTGGTAATTTCAGATGCAAAAAATAATAAAACACACACACAAATGATTAAAATTTAAAATTGTCGAGACTGAATTTTTGGGAAAATCTTTTCCTTTGCTGATTTTTTTGGTGATGATCAAAAACAGAATTCTTACCATTAACAATGTAGTTGTTGTTGTTATTGTTGTTGTTACCACCACTACTGCTTAATTATGATGAAAATTCATGAAGATATTTCACAATACACACACACACACAAGAATTTCTTTGAAAATTCTTGACAATTCTGAAGTTTTAAATTCAGCAATGATTTCAAACAACAACAATGTCAATCAATGAGGGGATACCGTTGAAAGTTTTTGATTACAAACGAATGAGAACGGTGAAAAAAAAAATTAAGAATCGATATCATTATCATTCTTGTTTTCAGTTGAACGTTCAATGAAATGAATTACGATGAACATAACAAGAAACATGCACACATTCAACAAAAATCAAGATCCTAACCAACATGTATGATAGCCAAACACTGACTGAACGGCGAAGAAGAAAAAACGTGGTTGAATCGAATTTAGTGTGTGTGTGGGATACAAACTTGAATGAATATCCTCGAATGTGAAGATTTTTTGTGCAAGTCTGTGTATTATAAGCTAGCAGCATAAACGAATGTGAAGGCCGTAACATTGTATCCAAAACATTCACAATTGTGAAACCTGTGTGTGTGTGTGTGTTTCTTTGCTATACCAACGGAGAAAAAAAAAATTTTCAAGTCCGGAATTTTAAATTTTTTCTTTCCATTGCCTCACAATGATGGAAGGAAAAAATACGCCTGCAGACGATTACGTAATTTATGCATTTTCGTTATGTTATTTTTGTGTAATCATTTTTCATTGATCCAAATTGTGAATCCGGTCTTTTTTTCTAGACAGAAGAATTTCTCAATTTTCTCCATTAAGAATCAACCGTATACAAACGTTTATTTATGTGAAAAAAATGACCCGTCGTTTTGATAAGAATATAAGAATTTTGTGAATTGTATCAAAGAATATATAACACAAACTCGACAATCACAAACACACATATGGTTATACTGGTTGTGTATCAGCTGGTGGTCATCATTCATCACTCAAACACCATCATCATCAATAAAGAATATCAGAGGACAAAGGACGACGACCTATCAACTAAACGAACGAATCGCTATTCCTTATATTCCAAACAAACAAAACGAAACAATCTGAATCCGAAATGTTGAATGGAACGAAAGAAAAGAATTTGTTTTGTTTGTTAGAAGTATGATAATTTTGTTGTTGTTGTTGTTGTTGTTGTTGTTACCATTCCCGTTTGATTTGATGATTTGATTTTCTATTTGTGGAAGCATCGATATCGAAATCAAACTTGCATGAAATTAGCAATTTCACACCAGAATCAAACACACTAACACACACACACACACAGCCGGTTATTTGAATGTTGAAGCGCAACGAAGTTCAGTATTGCAAATGACAGATTCATAGTTTAGAAGGAAAAAAAAGAAATTCTTTTTTTCCTTCTCTTCCATTCTTTTGGATCGATCCATCTATCTATAGATTTTTTAGATCGTAAAGATAGTTTTGAATCCCGTTGGTTTATGCATGCACACACACACACACTTAGACAAATGTTGCCAACCGTCATAAGTTTATTCTATCCGAATATAAATCCAACACCATCATCATTGAATCGAATTGACTATGAAGATGTTGTCGTTGTTTTTTAACGCCAAATGAATTTTTCTCCACACTCTCTGTGTTTAGTTGTTTAGATTATATTCATTCAAACAAAACAAACTGAATTAAACTAAACTATGTTATGTCTATGCTGTCTTGGAGATCCATTTTCATGCAATTCATTTTTATTGAGTGTAAACTTTTAGTTATTTTAGTAAAAGAGATGTTCTATTTGTTTATTTGTTTGTTTGTTTGTTTGTTGTTCATTAGTTTGTTCGTGTCGATGCATATAAACACAAACACACACACACACACACACCAAATTTGATCTTAAGGACTTGTTTTATAATACAAACAAACAAATAGAAAAAAAATCCCGAAAAAAAATGCTAGGCAAAGGTCAATAAGATTGGAAAATGGTATGGTTTCGGGTCATAGGGACAAATGATGATGATGATGATGGTCAGGTTACATATCGGTTATTTTCATCGTCATCATCATCAGCATCATCATGTAGACTAAATATAAATAAAGTTCTTCAGACCCGAACATTTTAACACGGTTAGTTTACAAACATAACAAAAACTTTCACATAAGATCTCCATAAGGCATAAGAAATTCTTGATAGCCAAGTCAGTAAACTTTTGGTACGAAGAATATAAATCACATATATACCATATATACAGAAATGAATCACCATCCTACACACACACAAGTCAGCAAACATTTTTTCTGTTTTATTTTCTGAAGAAAAATATTTTTGCCAACCACATAGAATGGTCAGAACATGACATGGCTAAAAATTATGACAAGATAGATTGCCATTCAATGGCTACTTTTTTCTCTGATGAAACATTCTCCGAAAATAAATTGTAATATTCATCATAATGATTACGGTCAATTTCGTTGTTTGGATGAGACATTCAAACAAAATCATTATTTTAGATAATGAATATTCATTGAAATGAAAATGAAAAATCGAGGAAATTTTTGAAATTGAACCTAGAATAAATGTTGATTTGACCCATCACAAAAATCAAATGGGATTTGTTCGATTTGTGTGCCATGTCAATAATGATTTCTTTTTTTTTTTCTTTCTCCATTGATGATTCAAATGATATTTCATTGTGGTTTTACACTGACTGGTAGTGATGTTTTTTTTCATCCTCTACCTATGGAACCCTGCTGCTGTCCTTTTTTCTTCTTTGTTTGAATGTATGGATATCGACCGTTTATAATGGATGTTTAACGGCTGCTATGCTGCTGATGAAGAAGCTATTGCTTATGGTTATTTCATCATTGTCCAAAATCTTAAATGAGACCTACCCATTCGTTTGTATCAACAACAACAACAACAACTAATAACAAAATTCAAGTCTGTCTGTGTGATAAGATCCGTGATTGTCGTTCATTCCAAGTTATATTGAATGGAATGTGTCGAAACTATCACTAAACGAACAGTAAACGAAACGAAAACAAATGAAAAGAAACAGAGAAAATTGTGACCAGAAAAATAAAGGACAAACACACACACATACGCACACACAAACACACACATATGGTGCACCTAGGCCAGAAAAAAGAAAAAGAAAAAACCAAGACTACCTGCCGATAATGTGAAAAGTAATTTAAACTTTTTTTTCTTATGTGCCAAAATAATTTTTTTTCATTCATTTCATCTCATTCTAATTTTAATGTCTGTATGTTCAATGTCCCTGTTTTTATTTGGGTTCCTCTGTGTGTAGTGGAATTTTGACGATATTTTACTTCTTTTTTTTTATTGGCTTGCGGCATCTAAGAAGAACAAAAAAAAGATTTTCGTTTTTGGTTTCGTTAACCAAAAAGATCGTCAACAAGATACGTGGTCCTACGGACACGTCAACCACATCGTATATAATGATGATTGCCTGATAGACACACACAGTGAAAGAGAAGCCAAATCGATATCATCATAAATGATAACCAAATAGCGGCCTAGGAAAAAAAGACAAGACAATAACTAGGTATAGCGGAGGGGACCTACTAGTGTTTTTTTTTGTTCTTTCAATCATCTTTCAGATACACAAAGACATCCACCAATTTCAAGCCATCTGCGTGTTATGTTCATAATAATCATGTTGATGATTGGAACAACAAAAAATGATTTGATGTTACATCATTGTGAACATAATAAGTAAAAAAAGGTCGTTCTCATTCAATGAAATGAAAAAAAATCTCACATTCATTCATTCATTTTTTTTGGTGACATCTTCAGCTTTTATAACCATAAGAAAATGATTGGTTTGATGGATTTTGGTTTTGGTTCGTTTGTTCGCAATCATTAATGATCAATGTATTTCATTATGGTTCAATGATAATGACCAAACGGACAGTAGCTAGTATTTTGTTTGTTGTCTTATTTTTGTTTTGAAATGAAAATTGAGCACAACAACAACGACGACGACCAGTTGCATATGAACAAAATTGATCGATTTGATTGATTGATTGAACTTGATTTTGATCTTGGCCATTCGTACATGAATTCGGAATTTGAGTAGAAAAAATAATATCACATTTTTGACTTTCAAATTCTCATTATTATCATCAATTCAAAAAAAAAAATTGTTGTCATTCGGGCAACAACAATCAAACAGAAAAAAATGAAAATTTCATCAAAAAATATTTATTTTATTTCACTTAATTTTTTAAACAAATTGAAAATGAGAAGATTGCGTGTCATTTATAAGAGAAAAAAATCCAATATTCTTCTTCGATGACCAATTCATATGAAACAAAAAAAACACACACACACACACGGACACAACAACAACAATTCTATCGATTGAATGGTCAATTCGTCGAAAAAAAACGATTATCATCACGAATATTATTCATTCATCGAATATTTTCAACAACAAAAAAAACATGAATGAATAAAAAAAAACACTGAGATTACCTATCTATAATCAACAATATAGACTTATTAACTTTCCATTTTCATCATCATAATCATTTCTTACATGATAATAAACTAGAAAAAAAACAGGATT